GAGGCTGGTTCTTTCAATTCTTTCTCTTCCTGGCACATCTACCTCTCCTCTTTGGCCCTTTCCACTATTGTGTGTTTATATTGATTTAAATCAGGAGTTGGCATACTTTATCTGTAAAGGGCCAAATGGTAGATTTTAGGCTTCACAAGCCCGACAGTGCCTGTCACAACTACTCAACCCTGCCAGTGTGGGCAAAAGCAGCCATAGAAAATCTGTAAACAAATAAGCATGGCTGTATTCCAATAGAGCTTTATTTATGAACACGGATATTTGAATGTCATACAAGTTTTATATGTCACCCAATATTATTCTTCTCTTGATCTTTTCCCCCATTAAAAACCGTGAAAACCTTTATCAGCTTACAAGCTGTACAAAAACAGGCGGCAAGCCATGCTGTACTGACTCCTGATTTAAACGATCTGTTATTAATCTCTGTCTCTTGCTATCACTAGGTCAGTAAGCTCCATGAGGCGGGGTTTGAGCCTGCCTTAGCTCACCACTGTGTCCCTACTATATGGGAAGAATTTCTTCCTTCTTTTCTGCCACCCAAACCCCAGCTCAATGAATATTTGTTGAATAAGTAAAAATAACCAGATAAATAGGTTAATCCATTAATGAGGTGGATAGTATTATTATTTTGCTTTTTTCAGATGAGGAACCTAAGGCACAGAGACATTAAGTAACTTGTCCAAGGTCACACAGTTGTAAGTGGCAGAGCCAGAATTTGAACCCAGAAGTCTGGCTTTGGAGTCTATGTGCTTAACCGCCACTTTAGTGTATGTTGAGGACTGTCATGGTGACAAGGTCAGTCTAATGTGGTAAAACAATTTGTCTCCACCCCGGCCAGCCACCACCCCCCTATCCTGCTGGTGCGCCCTCCATGTCTCAGGACAACTTCTCTTCTTTAGAGACACCTGGTGTGGGATGGCTCCTTGGTCATCTCTTCCCTGAAGAGCCTTTATCTCAGTGTGTGGTTAGAAGTTAGGGTCTCTCCCCCACACTCCCCAAGCTACTCCAGGGTGGAGACTGGGTCTGTCTTGCTTCCTACCACATCCCCCATGGGGAGGTCAGTGCCTGGCCCACAGAAGCTATTCAGGGGACATTTGTGGAACACTGGAGCATCTACAATGTGTGCGAAACACAAATACAACAAGGCACTTGTCCTCTAGCTATAGGTGAGGAAGATTCAGCTTCCAGAAGCACTTGACAGGGAACCAAAAGTCTTTTAATGGGTGCCCCTGGGCTTCTGACACTTTATGATTTATCTTGGCAACAGTGAGTGGCTGAGCAAATGTTATTTAACTTTCCATCATGTCCTGCGTGACAAGGGCTGGGGAGCTCCAGGAGGGGTGGCGAAGGGTTAAGAAATCACGAGTCAAAAGTGGAGTTTCTGCAGGCCAGGGGTCTTGTCTCTGCAGCCCTGATACTGGCAGGCGCATAACTTTTATTTACAACTGCCACAAAGAAGTCAATTTGAATATCTATACCCAGTTAATTGATTCAATTAGACTGGCGGCTGCTTCACTGAAACTCATTGTGATCAAGCTCGAGTTGTGCTTTCACACAAAGGTGAAACTCATCGTGATCAAGCACGAGTTGTGCTGTCGCACAAAGGTGAAACTCATCGTGATCAAGCACGAGTTGTGCTGTCACACAAAGGTATGATCTCCGGGATGGCGTCAGCATTCCGAGACCACCTGATAAGGAAGTTTTACCGAGATCATTCCCTCGGGTCTCAGCATTCCAAGATGCTTCCTTATGACTTCAAAGGATCAGTGCGCAGGAGCATTCGAGTGGGCAGCTGCACGGCGACATTTTCACTTGAAGCGTGTGGGTGAACATACACGACTAACAACATTACTAACAACAAGGGCATTTGGGGCATGACTGTTCTGGGTGCTGCAGGACATTTGGCATCCCTGATACCTCCCCCTGGTCCAGCTACTAAGTTCTAGTGGTGCCCCCTAGACCTGTGACAGCCTCAACTAGGGTGAGGTGAGTGAGGCAATCGCCTGGGGCTCCAAATTTGCAGAGATGCCAACAAAACTCAGTAATCAAGAAAAATGATAATTTAATGCAATATTTTTAGAAAATTAGGACAAACAACTATGGCCAATGGAGCAGTCACCTGGTTTCATGAGTAAAATTTTGTTGGGATCAGGGCCACCCTTAGTGCGAGGGGGTATGCAGTAGGCAGTACAAGCACCCGGTCAGATCTGGTTTTTATTTACAATTTTGATGTTCTGTTCCTTGCGGATTTTTGCATTAATTTTGATTTTGTAACATATTGCATTAAAATATTATTTGTCTTGAATCCTGAGTTTTTTTGCACCTCCCCTTAAATTTTGTGCCCGAGGTAAATGCCTCACTTGCCTCACCCTGGTCCAGGTGCGGCCTGAAACACACGACATTTCCCAAACAGCTGGCTTGAGAAACACTGGGAGTGTATCATCTTCAGCAAATATGATGTCCCTACCTATGCCATTTTACAGATTAGGAAACAGGTTGAGAGAGGTAAGTGTCTCTCTCCTCACACACCTGCTGAAGGGTCCACAGCCTCAAAGAATATTCAGGCTGGAGGGGAAGTCGAGATGGAAACAGGAGGAACAGGCAGGTGCTTTGCATCCACCTGGATACAGTGAACACGTGGACTTAGCTTCAGGAAGGAGCAAAGGAATGGCAAAGGGAGAAGGAAATGGGTGAGCAGCCATGTTTGGGCCACAAGCACCCAGGCTGACCTGTCCTAGGAAAGATCTATAATAAGCGGCTCCTGCCCTCCAACCTTTGGAAGGGTTCCTTCAGTCCTTGGGTCAGTGTTTACTAAGCACCTGCTATGTGGCAGGCATGGAGACTGAGATGAAGTACCCAGTCTGCCCCTAGTCAGATGAACTCACACATGAAAAATGTGGGTGCCAGGAGGGACGTATGCAGAGGGTGTTATGGGAGAAGAGAGGGGGAACCCCACCTGGCTTAAGGAGAGGGGCATTCAAGACCTGCTTCCTGGAACACAGCCCATCTTAGCTGAGTCTTAAGGACTAAGAGAAAATAATGAGTAAGGAGTAGGAGGTGAGGGGGGAAGAGCCCTCCGGGGAGAGGGGGCAGCATGAGCAAGGCCAGCAGGTGGTACAGCCACCCATCCTCAGGGTGCAGCCTGCGGGGGCAGAATGAAGTGGGGGCTGGTAAAGTGGGCCCATGAGAGCTACTGGGAGCTGTCTGTGGCAAGGAGCTGGGGGGTTGGGGTGGGAGTAGGACAGGGCCCGCAGGGCGGGTTGGAGAGGGTCCACCTCCTTCCTCGTAGGAAAAGCAGAGTTGAGCTGATGCTGTCTTGGGTGAGGTGCTCCTGACAGCCATCGGGTACCCACGCTATGCCCGGCAGGGCCTTTACCAGAGGCTCCCACAAATACCCTCTCCCTTCCACCCCCATCTGAGCACACCATCCTCTGCGGAGGGAAGGGTTAAGTCTCATTCCCTAGGCTCCTGCCACCTGGGCCTGCTTCCTGCTCCCCTGACCTGTAGGAAGAGGTGATAAGGGTGGACCCTACTTTGACCCTCCTGGGTTTTGGTGAAACTTGGGAGTTCCATGGAGGAAGCGACACCTGTGGCTTTGGATGGGTTGCCACTTGCCACCTCCCTCTAGCGGGAACCAGGGAAGGAGTTCAGACAAATCAAAGCTATAGGACAGATATGTAGGATGTAATATTACGCAGCCGGGGAACAAGCCATTTTTGCATTTTGAAAGTAACTTTGGAAAAGGTGTCCAGTGTGAGGTTGGCGGAAAATGTACAATATAAGTTGTAATTCTATCTTCTCTCTACATCTTGAGCTGATCTGTAGCTTTATCCACATAAGAAGACTGGAAAGAAAAGGAGAGGTTATCTCTAGGAGGACGGGATTATGGGAGGTTTCGTTCTCCTCTTTATGTGTTCTATAGTGTGTACATTTTCTACAATGAATGCATTATAGGAGAGGCTATGGAGCATAGTGGTTAAAAAAAAAGCAGACTGCCTGGCACCCCACAGTGTACAACTTTGTTACCTTGGGCAAGTCATTTAACCTCTCATCCTCAGGGTCCTCATCCATACGATAGGGAAAACTAATACATATTGATAGGGTCGTTATGAGGATTAAATGAGTTCATATTGCCATGAACATTTTGCCATGAACGGTGGCTGGCACATAGGAGGCACTCTGTGTTTGTTAAATAAAAGCAAAATTACTTTTATAGAAAAAGCAAAAGGACTAATTTTAAAATTACCCAATATAGGGCAGCCAGTTAGCTCACAGTGCTGGTTAGAGCACAGTGCTCATAACACCAAGATTGCTGGTTTGATCCCCACATGGGCCACTGAGTTGCACCTTCCACAACTGGATTGAAACAACTAGTTGACTAGGAGCTGATGGGTCCTGGAAAAACACTGTTCCCCAATAAAATCTTTAAAAATTTTTTGTTTTGCCCAATATAGGAACACAATCTTTTTGTAAAGAATAACAAGGAGGGCCGGCCGAGTGGCGCGTTGGTTAAGAGCTGCCTTGGGACACCAGCTCTGAGCAGCAGGGCCCCAGTTCGGATCCCACATGAGGGCCAGTGACACTGCCCTCTACAGCTAAGATGCTGAACAACAACTCAACCTGGAGCTGGGCTGCTATGAGTCGCCGGCAACGGCGTAGGCTGCAGCCCCTGCTGCAGTGGGCTGCCATAAGCTACCGTGTGTAGCCAGCAGCCAGCGTGAGTGGCTGGCAGCTGGTGTGAGCTGCCGTGAGTGGTCGTCCAGAGGCCGGCGACCGATCTACCTCACCCGGGAGGAGCGCAATGATAATACCAATATGGGCCAGTGAAGCAACGTCCTCCACAACTAGACTGAAGAACAAAAGGACAGCAACTTGTCTGTTCCCCTTCCCCCAATTCCGCCCAGTGCTGTTCCCCTCCCTCAATTCCTCAATAGAATCTAAAAAAAAAAAAAATTACAAGGAAATTTTTAAGTGAAATAACCCTTGGAGACAGATTGTTTTACAGCCTGTTTGGACTCATACTAAACAAAGTATTCCTTGCGTGCTAAGGCAGGAGCCGGACGGCATGGCAAGTGTGTGGGCAGCGTTCCAGGGACGGTCCCCTCCCTGGTTTCTCTACAGTGGGGGAAAGGGGAGCGGGAGGGTTCACTGATGTGGATTATCCAAGAGCACTGGCTGATGTGCACCCACAGGTCCCCCCTGTGATGTTTTCCTATGAGGCAAATGCTGAGTCATGAGCAAACAACCCTGACATTTTGGTTTGATGGCCAACCTCACTGACATGCACGCCTGCTTGCCATTTGGCTTTTTGAAATACTACAAAGTATTTGTGGACCCCCAGGACTATCACTGTGGACCCCTACAGGCCTAGGAGCTCTAAATGAGGAACTACTATTTAAGAAAGCCAATGACATTCCTCTTGCATTCGGATGTGATTTTGTACCATGTGCCTGAGGGTGTCACAGTTCGGGGATTACACACCACCCTACTCTGGAACTACATGTTCCTCCAAGCCGGAAGGAGCTGGCCAGGGCCACGCCCCCTCCTTGTCAGCTCCCTCACGTGGAAGGACGCTGAGACCCACGCAGCTAGCCAGAGCAGGCCCCTGTCCCCTCGGATCACGCATGCACCTCCTCAGCGTCATGACCTTGCCCGAAGCCTGCAACCCCTGGATCTGAGAAGAATGAGGATTGAGGGTGGGGTGGGGAGGCAAGAATTAGGTATTTCGGTGTGAAAGTTTTCTCCTCAATATCAGGGAAAGGTTTCGATTTCATTCCTGCCCATCCACACGGGCAGCAGCCCAAGGGGAAAAGTGGTTGGGATTGCTGCTGAAGGACGTCTGCAAGGAGGAAGGCCAGGGAGAGACCCTAGCCAAGGCTTGCTCAGAAGAGCCAAAGGGTGCCCCTGTTGTGCCGCCCCAAACCACCACCTCCTAAACAAGAAATGAGGGCGACTAATCCCCCCAGAACAGGCCCCATGGAGATGGAATTCAGGCACATCTCCTTGGGGCACCGTTTGGCCTGTGTCTGGAACTACATTGCCCTAGGGATTTTCTTCCATGGCTTGTATCATTTCAACTCTTCAGAGCCAATCATTAACCTTACTGAGAACCCCCGGATGAGAAGCTACGGGAACAAGTGGCTGATTGAGGCTGGAAATTCAGAGGCAGCTTCCCCAGAGGGGTGTCCCCAGTCATGCTCCTGCCAGGGTCGCAGGGCAGTGGCCTGGCAGGGGTCTAGCCTCTCAGGCAGATTTCTACACACCCTGCTGGGCAGGTGGAACAGGAGAGGACTGGGCGAGGAGGAAGTCCCTTTGTCTTCCCACAGTGTTACCCTCTGGCAGTTGAATGGGCTGGGCCTGGGGCTGGGGGCGGGGAAAGCAGCTTTCGGGAACACTGAGGAGGGCACAGAGTGGTTTAAGGTTTGCCAACCCAGGATAGCCTCAGCTCCACATCACCTCTGGGCTATAAAACACCAGCTGTGTAAGCAGCTTAGCTCTGAGCAATAGGGTCAGCAGCCCCAGCCCGGCTCTGGACCTAGGCCCTCAGCCGTTCTGTTTGGGTCTGAGATCTGCCTGCATTCTTCTGTTTAACTTCTAGCCCCCAGTTAAGCCAGTAACCCCTACCCCAATCTGTAAGTGCCACTTCTCGGTCTGGCCACCTGAGGGGGAGGAGCCCAAGAGAAGCCACCTGGTCCAAGCCCCACCCATGCTCAGGCCACGAGACCTTTGGGGACAGGTACCTACCTCCCTGGTGCTGAATGGTCAGGACCAGCCTGGATAACCAAGGCCAGTGGCCTCTGACTGGTTCTGGGTAGTTGGGAGTGGTGATAGGCTGTGCACCCAGGTCAGAAATGCCCCCTCCAGAGGCCACAGGACTGTCCCCGGTCCCAGGGAAAGTCCAGCGCCTTCTGTAGCTGGGGGGGACAGACAGGTCTGCTTGTTTTCTGGGGTTCCCAGGGCCACTGGGCGGGTGGGTGCCGCAGGAGAAGTCCAGCCAGCGGGTTCCACGGCAGGTTCACCACCCACCCCTTAACCCCCAGTCAGGTGACCCCGAGGGCCGGCCACCCTCCCGGGTTCCCCTCCCCGCGGCGCCCCAGCCAGCTCTGAAGTCCAGCTTTTATTTGCCGCCCGCCTACACCTGCTTGAGTGTGACCAAGGCGCCGCTGCAGACCATGACCGGCGGGTAAAGCAGCTCCAGGAAGGAGGCGAGGCAGCGGTAGATGAGGCTGACGCTGCCGGCCTCGCCGTAGAAGGACAGGCAGCCGGCGCTGCAGTCGAGCGCCACGCCGAGCGTGCGGTGGTGGCCGCCGTGCAGCACGGTCTGCGTGTTGTTGTGCCACACGGAGAACTTGAGCGAGTCCCACTCCAGGCACCAAGAGTACGGGTTGCGGCCCAGCAGGTAGACGATGTTGCGGGGCGGGCGGCCGCTGAGTGGGGCGCTGCGGCGGTGGGTGACGCCCAGGCACACCCACGAGTTGGTCACTTCGGCCTCCCAGTAGTGGCGGCCCTCGGACAGGCTGCGCGAGCACAGCACCTGCAGCCAGTGCTTGGAGCCCGGGAAGGGGCAGCCAGCGGCATAGCGCTCCAGGAGGATGCCCAGGTTCAGCACCGAGTGAGTCTCCTTGGACAGGAAGAGCTCCTCGCTGGCCGTGGCGGGGTCGAAGTTCATGTTGCAGTAAGCTGGGAGGAGGAGACAGGGGACAGGCGACAGGAAAGGAAGCCAGGGTCAGCAGCCCCAGGGCGGAGCCTGGGGGCCTGGAGAAAGGAGGTGCTGAGTCTCATGGTATTTACTAGAGGTTTCCAAGTGCTTCCACCCTTAGCTCCTAGGAGTGGCCCCTCTATTCCCTCCCCTGGCTTCCAGTCTCCAAATGGGGGTGGCGGGAGGGCACTGATAAGAGTCTAGCAGGATGAGTTGTCCGAAGGTCCACTGTTCTAGAGAAGTTGAGAACCGAGTCCTTCTCCCTGACCTCACCAGATCCTAATATAGTCTCCTTTTTTATTTATTCAGGATGCAAGACTGAGTGGAACTGAGGGAGAGTCAAAGGCTCCTGGAGGGGGTCACTCAGAGGGTTCACCAAACGCAACACAACCTTGACCCTGGAGATTTCAGAGAAGTCATTGGGATTTGGCCCCCAGTCCAGCCTGGGAGAGGGAACATCAAACAAAAAGGGAGATTGTCTGAGGAAGAAATGGACAGGGTGCTCCAAGCTGGCTTGGCTTAATGCCCAGGGGAGGCTGGCAGGCACCCAGCTGAGGGCAGAGGTTTGTGCCACACCCCAGTGCCTGGGAGGGTTGGTGAGCCGGCCTCTGGGCAGGAGGTGGGGCCTTGCCCCACCCACAGGGGTTGGACTGGACAAGCCTTTTCCCTTCCCTATCAGGGCCTTGGAGTCCCAAGCCGCCGGTCCTTCTGAGGTCTCCAGGCAACAGAGAGCTGGCAGAGTCCTTCTGGAGGCCTGACCTGAATGGAGGTGGAGCTGGGGAAACTGAGGCACCCGGGGCCCTGCTGTTTCCTTCCCGCCCTGGGAGCGGACCCCAGTACTGAGGACTCACACTTGAGAAGTGTTTTCCTGTCCACGGCTGGGGGCAGCACCTCATAGGAGTTCATTTTAAGGCCTGGGATAGATGGAGGGGCTTTGCTGAGGACACTCTCACAGCCCAACATCCTTTCAGAGAGGGCACGGGCTTCCGGGAGGCTGTGTCACCTGGGGAAGGTGCACACGGGCAGGCAGGGCCCTCTACAAGTGCCCGGGACCCCACCCACTGCCCTGTAGGGCCGTCCCACCCCCAGAACCTCCAGTGGCCCCAGGCTACCAGGTACTGACCCCGCAGGAGAAGCTGGTTGACAAAGCTGAGACCCACATCCACCAGCTGGCTCCGGAACTCCGCCAGGGTCTCTGGCAGCTGGAGAAAGTTCTGCTTCTCTTCACAGTTGGTGCCCATCAGGGGTTCCATGCAATCTGGGAAGTGCTTTAGCCTGGGGAACTCCTGCATGCAGGGCGGGGCCAGGGACCAGGCAGATGCCAGGAGCGCCTGCTTATGCCAGGGGCTTGGTGGTGTCCAGAACCATGGGGCAGGTGGAGAAACTGCCCCTTTTCAAACCTGGACATCTCCCTCCCCTGCTTCTGGTTGTTTGGACATCTTACGGTAGGGCTTTGCCAAAGGCACAGCCACTGAGTCCTAGCACATTAAGCAAAGTGGATTTTTAGAAAACTATGGGGGGAGGGTGTTTTTGAGCCTTTAATTGCTTAGTAAAAACCTTTGTCAAATGCTTCCTGTTGTGTGTGGGGGCCAAGGTGAGCAATAGCCCCAGAAATCTGCTCAAGGGTGTGATGGCTGCTGAAGAAAGGAGAGCTGTGCTAGGAGTTCCCAAGCACAGGGTTTGGGCAGCCTGGGGACCCCCCAACAGAGAAGGGTTTTGCCATCCCCCCACCCCCTCCACCCCGAACTCCACCAGCCACCCTGCCTGGCACCCTCTTGCAGCAGCACCAGATCAGGCTGAGGGCCGGGCCAAGGCTGAGGAATGAAAAGGGATTTCAATCCAGGCTTCGTAGATTGTTCTGGTCTCACTTCCAGTGCTGCCTGGGCTAGCGGGAAGAAACCTAGACTGTCAGATGGCCAGAATCCTAAGGTACACCCCATGTGTTCCAGGGAAATGGAGGCAGGGAATTTAGGGTAAGGCTGGGCACTGAGATGGAGGAAGCCAGGAGTGTTGATGGAAGCTCAAGATGGATGACCTGGCACGGGAGGCTCCCCAAGGCAGGGAAGTGGACAAATGAAGCCACCCCAAACACTGATCCCCGAGTCCCAGGTCTGGGCAGGTCTGGTGTGTCAGTGGGTGGAGGAGGAGTGGAGGTTGTGACAGCACCTAGGGCAGAGGTGGGGGTGGGGTGGGGTCTTGCCTGCAGAAACTGCTGGTCACTCTGGTTGGCGAGCAGGGTGCAGCCAGACGTTGTCCCCTCCAGCTTTAGGAGCCGGTTGTGGCTCTGCTGGACGGTGCTGCCCACCTTCCCCAGGGCAGCTGCCTCCTCTGTATCCACAAAATCTAAGACCTTCATCTGCAGCTGTTTGACCTCCCGGATGATCTCTGAGAAGCAGTAGTTCACCTCATCACGTGTTGTCTGGATCAATTTCTGGGGGGTTGGAGGGGAGGGTGCATGGAGAGGCATCTCTGAGCCCCACTCCCGTACCCTCATTGTCATGGCCTAGACATCCTGACCCTGTTGGCCTGGCCCCACGCCATCCACTCCAAGCCCCGAGAGTCCCCTCAGCCTGAGGCAGGGCACTGGGGAAGCCAGGGCTGAGGGTGGGCTGGGCCACCCTTACCGAGAGGAAGGCCACCTGCCCTCGGTGCTTCCGGCTGTCGGAGGTGATCATTAGCATCTGGTTCTCCACGTTAGCCTGGACCTGCCGCACCTCGACCTGGGAGGGAGTGGGGGGAGGAGAGGGCCCCCGATTGACGGACGACCTAGGAAAAGCCCTTCTCTGAGCAGCTCCATATTCAAGCCCAGAAGAGACATACCACTTACATTCTAAAGAGGTTTCAATGAGAATGAGAAAGACCAGAGCTTAAGGGTAGCTGGCCGAGGGTCTCTTACTCCCTGAGTACCTCTCTCCCCATTCTTAGGAGTCAGGTTCTCCACGGTGATGACCATCAGTGTCCCGTCACAAGAAGGGGCTGTGGGGGATTCAGTGGCTTGAAAGGTCTGGGAGGCAGTGGGTTAAGGAGTGGCACCTCAGGTATGCAGCCCTGGGCTCCCCGGGACAGTGCTGCCAGGCACAATTCCTTCTCCACAAGCCTTTAGTCTCCACCTATTCTAGCAATGGGCATTTTCATGTTTTACAATGTACAATAGAACTGTGCTATTCCAAGTGCCTGTACATGAACTGCCACTGGCCCACAACAAATTAAGAAGCTCGTGCCAAACAATAAATCAACACACTGCTGCTTCCTTCACTGAGAAAAGAGTGGCAGCTAACATCAACAGTGTGATGAGCTGGCGTACATTCCAGCACAAGCCCCTTGCCATGGGCCATGAAAGCTGGCTATATTGGAATAGCACTGTTACAGAATATACACGATAAGAATATCTAACATCTAAGTATTCCATTATGAAAAGCAAGAAAGTATATTAAACAAAATTTGAAAATAGAGAAAAGGAAGGGGACTCGCCCAACCTAACATGACATGTTTGTATTTTGATGTTTTCTTTCCGCCTTTATCCTATGCAAGAAATTGAACACAGGACTCACACGTGCGATCCTTACTCATTTAACTTGCCAGCATTGTCTGATGGCACAGCATGACCCTCATGACCATCACTTTAATGGCTGCAGAATTTTCTTCCAAGGAAAGGTGTACCCGGGGCTTGCAAAAGGCCTCGCCTTCAGTCAAAGACTCAGAACTAGGAGACCTCAGGCTCCTCCCCGCACCCCCAGCCTCACCTCCTTGTGGGCTCGCTCCTACCCCAGGGGGACAGTGTCGTGGTTCTTGTGCTTCTCCAGCACACAGGTCCCGCACACGCAGCAGCCTTCCGTGCGGCAGTACAGCCTCCGCAGCTTGTGATGCTTCTGGCACAAGCAGCTCTTGAGATCCCACACGGGATCCAGCAGCCGGTGGCCCTGGAACATCTGGTCCTCAAAGTGGCTGCGCAGGTGCTTCTCGCACAGGGAGGCCATGCACTCCAGGCACGACTTGACTGACTTGAGCTTCTGGGGGCCACAGAAGTCGCAGGGCATGTCCCTGGGCCCAGCCAAGTTCCAAGAGGACCCCAAGGTCTGGCCCCTGGCCTGGGTGATGCAGGTCACCATCTCCTCCAGGACGACATTCTTGCAGAGGCGCGGCCTGGAGGGGAAGCTCTCTCGGCACTGGGGGCAATAAAGAGTCTCACCCGTGGTAGCCTGGTGGTCCCAGAAACCTTGAAGGCAGGTCATACAGAAGTTGTGGCCACAGGCGGTGGTGACTGGGTTGTGGAACACCTCCAGGCAAATGGGACAGACGACTTGATCCTCAAACGTGCAGAGATTGCTGATGGTACTTATTGGGAGCTGGCCTTGGGGAGGTCTTGAGGGCTGGGGAGGGGGCTGCGGGGCTGGGACATGGTCCTGGACTAGCCCCGGGAAGACAGAGCAAAGCCATGTAGAAGCCAAGGCAGGAGCTGAGGGGCCTTGGAGGGTTGCACCAGTCCTCTTAGAAGCAGCTGTCTGCCCGTGCTGGTCACGCTTGAATTATGACGTCAGGAAGCAAAGCTGCTGGCAGATTTGAGGGGAGCCGACTTGATAGGGAGACCACAAAACAGCAGCCAAAGGAAAAGGTGAGAAGGCAGTTGTCTGGTCCCGAGAGATGTAAAAGGATGGGTGGGGACACACTGGACTGATAGGGACCGTCCCAGCAGCTGGTGACGTGGGACTAGGCATGAGGCCCCTGTACCTGTGCCCAAGGATGCTTTTCCTTCCCTCCCCAGAGCAGCCAAGCCTTGGGCTCCCCGACATGCAGCGAGTTGCACCTAAGTACCTGTGCTTCCTACCTTTCTGCCAAGGAGTGGTTCCTTTCCCTTGTCATGTGACTGCTCTCTGCCATCCACTCTCTTGTCCAGGATTTGTTCCGGGAATTAGGGCTAGGACAAGGGGAACACAATCCCCAACTTATGCCCCCCAGCATGGGTTGACCAATGACAGTCCCTGTAGCCCACGCCCCAGCATTCTGCTTGTGATGTCAGCAGGGCAAAAAGTGTGCCACTGGATTTGGGGTGCCGATGCATTGTCTCTTGATGGTTACTTGACACCTCACATCTCTTAACTCAGCCTCCACCTTGCAGAGAAAATGGGCACCTCGTCACTTCCTCTCTTCCAGGAAGACTGTTTTTCCTTTAAAACCCATCTCATACTCCTCCCCTTGTCTCTTGCCAGCTCTCTGGGGGGTAGCCCGTCTGTCCACCTTGTCTCAGACCGCTCCCATCCTTTCAGATTCAGTAAAATGAAAGTGAGGAGGAAGACGGCCCAGCACCCTCCGGGCAGTTTTAGCAGGAGAAATCAGGACTTTGTCAGAAGCCCTGCTAGAGAAGATGCAGTGACCCTCCCCTCCAGAGAGCAGTTTGAGAATCATTAATGGTGCCAGTGGGAGCCAAGGAGCTTGCAGTACTGGAAAACATACAACGGTTTCAAGATTCAGATGTTTGTTTCATGTATTTATTGACCAAAAAAAAAAAAATGTCACATTTCAGACTTTATTCAAACACACAAACAATAACAAAGGCCACCCACAAGTGACAGCCATGGTCCCTAAGGTCTGGATCAAAGGCCATGCTGGAGGGTGCGGGTGTCCTCTTGGTCCCCCTCCTACAGCATCTGTCCCTCCCTCCCCTGCACCTGACACCCGAGAGCAGCTGAAGCTGTGCAGACACGCAGTCACTCTAGAGGAGGCTGGGCGCCCCCTCACTGCCAGGGGTAAAGCACAGGTTTACCTGAGGAAGACAGAAGCACGCCACTGTGTTGTCACTCAGGGGATGCCAGGCTGCTCCTTGGACCCGGCCTGCAGCCTCAGAACTGGGCAAAGAATGAAGCAGGGAGGCACTCCCCACTTAGCAGCACGGGGCAGCTGGAGAGTGTGGGTCACTGGTCATTGGCACCCCCAAACCAATGGGGAGACCTCTCTCTGAAAATATCAACTGGACTCTGCTGGGGCGATGAAGACTTTCAAGAAGACACACCAATTTGGTTCATCAAGGGTCTGGGTAAAACACTCTTCCAGAAACCTTAAGAAATGAATCATCCTGAGATTTCAGGAACATTGGAACAATTATCACTGGGTCGCCATGAGGAGGAAAACCTGGTGAAAGACAGCCATCTAGGAGATAAGAAATATCACTATCTGTTTCTCAGAGCACTTAGCAAGGGGCTGAGCAGTCTTTTCACAGGATCCAGTGAAGAATTTGAAAGGAGAAACAGAAGTAGCAGGGGCTTGCCCATGTCCGCCCTCCAGCCCCTCCTCACTCGTTCCGCTGGCCTGGGACCAGGGGCTGGTCCTATCAGGCACGCCCAGGAAAGCGCTTGGCTGGGCTTCTCCTTTCGGTCTGATGTTACTCACTCGCATGGGCCACACAGCACCTCTTCCAAGTCCTCTGTCCTACTCTGGTCCGAGCAGCTTTTCCTTGACACACATCTTTATTTTTCTGAAAAGGTGACTGCTTTCCTTATAGAAGTTCCTCTAATACTTTACAGCTGTCAAAATCCCGGGCATCTGCCAGACTTCTGAGATGCCAACACGCACGCTCACATTGGTGTGCAGACGCACGCATTTCTACCCTACTTTACACACAGGGCAATAAGGTCGAAGTGAGGATGCTAGGCATGGGCCGGCTGCAAGCGCCAGACATTTGGCACAGTCTATAGTCATTTCCAAAACTTAAGAGCCCAGACCCACTTAGTAAGCAGTTGAGCTGTGCAGCGCAGAGAACCTCAGTTGTTTTTTTTTTAAGATTTTATTGGGGAATTGGGAAAGGGGAACAGTGTTGGAAAATTGGAACAGCCTAGTTGTTGTCCTCCAATCTTAGTTGTAGAGGGCGCAGCTAGCTCAGCTCCAAGTCCAGTCGCCATCCGGCTGCCTGTCAGCAGCTTGCGGCCGCTCAGCTCAAGGTGCCATGTTCAATCTTAGTTGCGCATGGGCATAGCCCACCATCCCATGCGGGAGTCAAACCAGCAACCTTGTTAGGAGCACGTGCTCTCACCAGCTGAGCCATCCTGCCACCTCGGCTTGGGTGCAGCTCACTGGCGCACGTGGGAATCAAACCGGTGACCCTGTTGCTCAGAGCTCGCGCTCTTAACCAACTGAGCCACTGGGCCGGCCCCGAGAACCTGTTTTGAAGGAACCCAGGAGTGGCGAGCTTGGTGGCTTTTACAGATGGACATTCGTCAGAGGCGCCTCCTCTCCTCTCCCCTGGACCGTGCACCACACTGTGCAAGTCGAGGGGAATCAGAGTTCTCAGGCCCCCATGCGTTCAATGACTGCTCACCAACAAGGCCCAGGTACAGACTCTGTGGCCACAGCTTTGCTCTCCCTGATCAACAAGCGTTTGATCTTTGAGGACATGGAAAGAAGTGACAGGGAGGGGTGGGGTCAGGAATTCGGGGAGTCCTCAGATTTCAATTCAACCAGTGGGGAAGGTGTGGGGTCACTGACACAGCTGTGGGGCAGGTTTGCCAAGGTTAGAAACCAAGAACAGACACAAATGTCACACATTCAGTCAAGGCATCTTCAAGAGACAGTCACAGAAATAACTCTTTTGGAAACTACAACATAACACATTTGGCAGCTCTTAAAGAAACAGCCGTCCCCACCCCAAGCCATCAGAGGGTTCAAAGTCCCTTTATTCCAGTTTAAAAAGTCAGGGAAGGAAGATGGGCCAATGGAGGGTAAGAAAAGGCTGCAGGAAGCAGTTACACCAACTACCTAAGGCTCCCATCTGCCTGATTCAGTGCAGGATGCCACCTGCCCAAAACCTCCTCTTGGGGAGAAGACAAGCTACCTGGAGGGTCCAGGCTGCCAGAGACAAATGAGGCAAAACTGAATGCCCCAAACCCGAGCAGCAATCCCCAACTTCCAACCACAAGCAACGATACCCGCCTCCCTTCCTCAGAGGCTTTGTTCATAGGAATGTGGGGGCCTCTGTCAATGCTATCCTTTATCCAAACCTCAATTCAGTTTGATGAATGGAAGCTAGAATCGTTTGTATCTGCTCCATTCGTTCAGGGTGCATAGGATGGGAAGGAATGTCAGAGAGCGGCTGCCAACATCCGTCGTGGCACGCAGGTGAAAACATGGCACAGCTCAGGGACAACCCTCTCTCATTTGCTCCAGCTTTTACAGGCACATGCAAGGAGCTAGGTCTTCCGTTTCCTCTCCCCAGACCTCCACAGGGCTACCACTGGAGCCCAGCCCAAACGCTGCTATAAAGATTTGTTAGAACACTGGCTAAGACAACAAAAGCAGGTTTCTGAAAAGGTATTCTGCAGCTGGAAGCTACATCTGTCTTCAGGTTCCTGTGGGTGGGTGGGGATTCCTTTGGTTTTGACCAGAACACTCTCCACTGGGGGCCAGGCTCAGCTTTGCTTTGCAGTAGCTCGGTGACTGTACAGGAGCGAGATTTAACTTCACAGAGATGCTCTGCTGGGGTGCTTTCTTGATGTTTCGGATTCTGGAGTTTACATCCGTGATCCTCTCTCCTGAAGAATCTAGAAGTGGAAGGTGGGGGAGAGGGCTGAGGCCTGTGGATGCAGGCGGAGGGGGTGCTAAGCAGGCTGCTGAGGGAAAAGCAGCAGATGCACAGCTGCTTTCCACTGGGTCCATGAGCAGCACCACATGCCTTGCTACGCATGGAGGAGGCAGGACTGGAGCCCCGGCCCTCCTGAAGCACTTTCGTTGTGAAAGGCTCTTGCTGAACATGGCTGCACAACTGTGCTGCCAGAGCGCTTCTCCCCGCGGAAGGAAAGGGGTCAGCACGCTGCGTGCCGGCGATGTGCAGTGGGTGTGTGAGGGGCTCCCTGGAGGAAAAACGATATGACAGTATACAACGATTTTCCAGTAACTTAGGAAGGGAAAGAGTCACCAAGGTAACCAAATACTTTTTCTCTTGAGGCAGAGGAGAGGGAGAGACGAGAGACAGAGACAGACAGAAAAAGAGAGAGAGAGAGAGAGAAACAGTTTCAAATAATAAAGGCAAAATACTTTCCAATTTTGAGTTTCAGAATTCTCACCTTGTAGTAATTAATGGCAACTAAGCTTTTCTTTTTCACTGACCTGACAGAGGCTGGGAAAAGTACACACTATTCCAAATCATGTTTCCTAACTAAAAACTCCTGTCATAATCATAAATCTTGATTTAAATTACAAGAGGGAAAAGATCAAAATGAAGGGGAAATGCACAGCTGGCTTGAGAAGGAAAGGGAAGAACAGGTGAGTGACAGTTCAGGCAAAGCCTGTGGAAGGGCTGGGCACGAACGAGCCAGAGACAAAACTCTGCTGAAGTGACTTCTTACCTTCGCCTTCTCACTCGGCTCTATGACAATGCCATTGGTAGAATTATTTAGTTCTCTGGAGACAACACAGAGGAATTCTGCCTGATCCTCATTTCCATAGTTATAGGACGATCCAATGCTGATTAGCTGATCAAACAAGAATACAGTGAACATACAGTAGTGATCTTAAAATACTAAAGTGTCACACAAATTAAACCCATTTCCTGACTGAGCTTTTTAGTTTTGCTTCTCAATGGATGAAGAATTCTCTGGGAGCATCGAGGCCTCAGGGGATAACTCGATCTGTTATTCATCAGGTGTCATCAATGAGGGTTCCCCAAAGAGAAAAGTCTGAGTTCTGCCACTGTCCCCTGAAAAACCCCAAAGGCAGCTAGCTACCAGGATTAACATGATCACACCCCCTCCAGCAAACACGGAGGGGAAATGAATGTTTCTGTGAAAAAAAATGGACACTTGCTTTAGCCAAAACCTACACGGCGCTGGCTCCTCTTTAAGTAGAAGTCCTAGACAGGAGACTGGCATTCGAAGGCTCTGGAAGCACCAAGCAAACCACTGAAGAGCTACTATATGCCACTGGCACTTGTAACCTTTTTGGGGAAATGAATTCAGGATTTAATGCTAAATAGGCAACACAAGGCTGGCCGAGTGGCTCAGTTGGTTAAGAGCTTGCTCAAGAGTGTGAGCACTGAGCAACAGCGGTTCGAGTCCTGCCCAAGCTGAGCTGCCGCTGAGCTGCCAATAGGTGGCAGGATGGCTCAGCTAAAAAAAAACCAAACAAACAGGCAACGCATATGCAGAGAGAGAAGCTGAGCTCAAGGGTGAGGTTGCCCGGGTGTGCACGTGGGACCCCAAGTCGGGAGACCATGACTGACTGGCTGTATGGCTGGGCTGAAGACACCTCAGCCTCTTTGTGCCCCAACTTCCTCATCCATATAATGGAGCCAAAGGGAGCATACTTTGAAGTCCTACGGACATTAGTTAAGATGAGAAAAATAAGATTAACAAGTATTCACTGGTTTCACAAAGAATACTTTTAAGAAGTTTTTATGATATCCTTTGCAGGGAGAACTACTTCTGGAGTGGCAGTATGACATTCGAACCCACACGTGAAGGGCACACACACAAGGCAGAACTGAGTCTGTAGTGGAAGGTAGATGTGAGGAATAACCCAGTATCGGTTCTGAAGACAGATGCAAATACTAACTTTTATGTGAGAAGGTAACTTTATGGTGACAGTTTCAACTGACCTCTGAAACTCTACATAAAAATAGGCATGGTGCATACAAAATTATAATATAGCCATTGTATTTATGCTCATCCACCCTGTGTTTTGAAGACAACAGATGAACTGAACAAGCCTGCCATCTAATGGAAGAAAATAGTAAAATTCTGACTTTTCTGGCTTTGTTTTGCTACCTCAATCATAACCACAAAGCTACAACAGACAGCCTGGTGGGAAATGACCACGCCACGCTTCTCATTACACTTGATTCCTTTCGCATCACACCAGCTCACCATGCTTTTTACGACAGATTACATATATACTCAGAGTGACAAAGTTCTGATCCAGGGTAAGGAAAAGAAGGGTTACTGTTCAATCGTAGTCGTCTTTTAGTACTTATTCTAGAATGTGTCAACAGAGCACTTATGAAAAAAACCCCTCTCACGGGAAAAGTACAACCAGAGAAAGCAGCACTTTCAAGCCCGAACAAGCTGCTGCCTCCCTCTTGGCACAATCAAGTTGAAACTTTGGGTATGAAGCCGGGAGACATGACACTAGTCTCAGTTCCGCCAAACTCATCATGTACTACTGAGCAAATAACCCACAGCAAGCGGCTCTCTGTCCCCAGGTTTCTGAACAGGATCATGTGAACCCAGCCTTACCCAACTCCCAGGGTCATTAACTGGCTACAGACAGTGATGTTTGCAAAAGTGTGCAATCCTAGGCTAAGACACGGGGATTGCTACCACCTAAGGAACATACCTGTTCGAATTTCCAACCATCAGACATAGTGGAGACCATCTGCGTGAGCTCCTCTTCTTGGCACTGCAGGACTCTGTACACATGCTTCACGGGGCCCTGTGACAACCACCAACAGACTTTGAAGAACAGTTTCAAGGACACGACAGTTTGCAGCAGCCTCGGTGAGGCGAAAAGAATAAACACAGAAAAGAAGCCTGCTTGGAAGTTTTTTCTTGGCAGCCGCCCTCTATCCCCTTTTTTACAAGCAGCATTGTAGTTTTTCAATAAAAACTTATCCAAGGAAAGAGAGAAAGGGTCCCAGGATATGAGTCAGTGGGGTAAATAATTCTGAGGTTCAGAGGGGTGAATTATGTGCTTCGAGGTCATCTACTCCCCTAAATAGAAAACAGAGTCAAGTTCCTTGGACCCTTGGACAAGAAAGCCACATTTTAAGTTGTTCATATCTGACAGACGTATTGAAAACGTAGACCATATTTTGGTTTACTGAGTGACACCTTATTATGGTAATAATATATTAAATAGGAGTCCCATAATATACAGTTAAGCTATCTTTACCCTCTGCTGATGCCGCCTAAAAGTGAAAGTGTCTCAGTGTTAAATGCTATCGTTCCTGCTACAGAGAACGGTGGTATAATAAAA